AATAATAATATAAAATAATAACAATAGAATCTATTCCTTCCAAAGACCCCAAAATGTGTATTATAATAATTTATAATATTACTAGCCATCCCCTGCTACGAGTTGCTGTGGCCCAGTCTCTGTATATGTGTTTTGTGTGTGTATATATGTGTATATTTGTGTATTTGTGTGTTTGCGTATATATGTGGTTTTGTGCATGTGTTGTAATGTAATATTTTGGCTTTTTAAGTCTCTTCTGCTGTGTTTTTCAGTGATGGTCACTCGTTGGCCTGATAGGTGTATTGTGTCCAAATTTGATGTCAAGTCGTCCAGAAGTTTTTGAGTTATGTTAAGTCCACAAATGAACATTACATTTTTATTTATATAGATAATAATAATATAATAATAATAATTAATTAAAGTAATAATTAATAATAAAAGCACAATACTAATACTAATATTAATACGGCGCTCCATGTGGTCATGCTGGCCACATGACTTTGAAGGTGTCTAAGGACAATACCAGCTCTTCGGCTTAGAAATGGAGATGAGCACCAACCCCCAGAGTCGGACACGACTGGACTTAATGTCAGGGGACAACCTTTACCTTTAATACTAATACTACTACTACTAATAATAAATAGAGTGGAGATTGGATGCTAGGAGATGCAGTTGTGCCATTCAGAGGGATGTAATAATAATAATAATAATAATAATAATAGCATCTATTCCTTCCAAAGACCCTGAAATGTGTATTATAATAATGTATAATAATAATAATAATAATAATAATTATTATTATTATTATTATTATTATCATCCAGCAGAGTGATCTTTTCTGCTGTGGACTCATCTTGTTGTGTTTCAAATAATAATAATAATAATAATAATAATAATAATAATAATAATAATACATCACACAGTCCTAGACGCTTGGGAAGTGTTTGACTTGTGATTTTGTGATACAAAATCTAGCATACATATCTCATTTGCTGTGACATACTGTAAAATAATAATCATAATAGAGCAGAGGTTGGATGTTGGGAGATGCTTTCGTGCCATTCGGAGAGGTGCAAATAATAATAATAATAATAATAATAATTCACTTGGGAAGTGTTCGACTTGTGATTTTGTGATATGAAATCTAGCATATATATCTCATACTGTGTTTTTGTGTCAATAAAATAATAATATAAAATATAATAATAAAATATAATGAAATATTATAATAATTATAATATAATTAGAGCATAGACTGGATGCTGGGAGATGCAGTCATGCCATTCGGAGGGGTACGATTATTATTAATAATAATAATAATAATAATAATAATAGACTCTATTCCTTTCAAAGATCCCGAACTTTGCACTTTGCCGCAGCTGCATTTGGAGACAGAGAGACCCTCTGTGCACCCACAATGTGAAACAATGATATAATGAATGCGATATATATACATAAACACATAAGGGGCAGGAAGCTGGGCCAGAAAGCAGCTATAGATACAATTGCTTTCGGAAGGAAGGCCATCCTTTCTATAGGATTTCTGCATCTCGTTCTATAGCAATGAATACGGGATGTCTTCCTTCCCGCAAACCGGTGCCAAGGGCCGGGAGAAAGAACCCTTTTCTGTATTCTTCGCTTTATGGGGCGAAAGGAGCTCCGTATTACCCGGCGTTGGGTCCACGAGGCTGAATGGGCCTTCTTTCCACCAAAAAAACCCCATTTGTCTTGCTTTCCCCATCCATCCGCCCATTCCCTGCATTCATAGCCATTGCAATGCATTTTGTGCCAGGTGTTCGCCTTGGCATAAAGGGCACATTATGCTGGATAGGATATCCCTTTCAGTAATGGGAAGCAGGACAATTCTGCAGGAATTGAGCCCTAGAAAGGCAGAAGGAGCCCCCAAAGGTCATCTAGTCCAACACGAGTTGTCCTGATCCTTCTTAAATGGCTTGGATATAGTATATCTTGTACTGTATTTAATACGTTGGAAGCCGCTTTGGGTTCCTTTGTGGGAGAAAACCGGGATATAAATAAAGATTTATTACTACTACTACTACTACTATTATTATTATTATTATTATTAGTAGTAGTATTCCCATTGAAAAGAGTGGGACAAGAGATCTAGTCACTTGGTTCCTATTGATTATGATTGAATTATTATTGATCGACAAAATAGTTTTTTAAGACTACACTAGCTTGGGTAACCAGCATTGCCTGGGTTATTTGAAAAAGTCAATTTTTAAAATTGTTGTAGGTGAACTAGAACTCTCATTATGCCAGTTTAACCCTTTGAAACTCTGTCAGTACTTAGAGTTTATAATGTCAGGCAAGTTTGCTCTAGATACATCATTCGTGGGGTTCAGTGTGCTCTCTGGATGCAGGGTAAACTACAACTCCCACTATGGTGAGTCGGTCCTCTCAAATGCCTCCAGTAGGTTGACTTAGTCATGGGAGTTCTGTGTGCCAAGTTTGGTCCAGGTCCAGCATCGGTGGAGGTCACAGTTTCTCTGGTTGTGGGCGAACTACAACTCCCAGAAAGGAAGGTCCGTTCCCTCTAAAGCCCTCCATTAATCAAATTTGAACATATCAGGTATGTGTGTCAAGTTTGGTCCAGATCCATCAGTGTTTGGGATCATGGTGCTCTCTGGATGTAGGTGAACTACAACTCCCCCAAATCAAGGTGCATTTTCCCCAAAGACCTCTGTGTGCCAACTTTGGTTCAATTCCATTGTTTTTTTGTCAATGGCATTGAATTGTTACCAACGCTGTGAACCGCCCTGAGTCCCCTTCGGGGTTGAGAAGGCCAGTGTACAAATACTGCAAATAAATAAATAAATAAATATCCATCCATTCATCTCTTCCTCTACCCATCTATTTATCCATCCATCTATCTGCCTATCCAACCATCCGTCCATCTATCTATTCACCCATCTATATAACTATCAGTCCATTCATCTCTTCCTCTACCAATCTATTTATCCATCCATCCATTAATCCATCCATCCAGCTATTTATCTGTCTATTCAACTATCCATCTATCCATTCATCTATCTATATAACTATCTGTCCATTGATCTCTTCCTCTATCCATCTATCCACCCATCCATCCATCTATCAATCTGTCTATCCAACTATCCATCTATCTATTCATTTATCCATAAAACTAGCCATCTAGTCATCTCTTCCTCTACCCATCTATTTATCCACCCAACCCATCCATCCATCCATCCATCCATCCATCCATCCATCCATTCTATCTATACAACTGTCCATCCATTCATCTCTTCCTCTATCCATCTATCCCACTATCCTTCAATCTATTCATCTATCTATATAACTATCCATCCATTCCTCTACCCATCTATTTATCCATCCACACACACACCCACACACCCATCCATCCATCCGTCTGTCTGTCTGTCTGTCTATCCAACCATCCATCCATCCATCCACTTATCTATATAACTATCAGTCCATTCATCTCTTCCTCTAACCATCTATCTATCTATCTATCTATCCATCCATCCACCTATTCACTTATCTATATAACTATCAGTCCATTCATCTCTTCCTCTACCCATCTATTTATCCATCATCAGTCCATCCATCTATTTATCTGTCTATCCAATTATCCATCCATCTATCCATTCATCTATCTATATAACTATCCACCCATTCTTCTTCCTCCATCCGTCCCTGTCTGTCTATCCAACTATCTATCTATCTATCTATCTATCTATCTATCTATCTATCTTAAGGGTCTGGACTGAACAACCACCTGTCAAGAGGGATTGGATGATGTCTTCCTTTGGGTCAGAAGAGGGTTGGACTGGATGAGCTTTGGGGTCCCTTCCAACTCTAGGATTCTATCTATCTATCTATCTATCTATCTATCTATCTATCTATCAGTCCAGTCAGCTCTTCCTCTATTCATCCATCCATCCATCCAGCTATTTATCTGTCTATCCAACTATCCATCCATCAATTCATCTATCTATGTAATTATCTGTCCATTCAGCTCTTCCTCTACCCATCTATTTATTCATCCATCCATCCATCCATCCATCCATCTATCTGTCTATCTGTCTATCCATCCATCCATCTATCCATTCTGTCTATAAAACTGTCCATACATTCATCTCTTCCTCTATCCATCCATCCATCAGTCCAACTATCCCTATAACTATCTATCAGTTCATCTCTTCCTCTACCCATCTATCCATCCATCCATCAATTCTATCTATCCATCTATTTCAGATTGGTATATTTTCAATTGTATGCTGATGTTTTTATGTTCAGCCACTTTGAATCTCCTGCTGGAAAGATAAAGTGGGGTATAAAATATAATAATAATAACAACAACAACAACAACAACAACATTTCCAGCCAGATGTCCAAACATTGACAGAGTTGAAATGGCAGAAACATGAGGAAGAATGAGGTGTTGAAAGATGCATCCTAAAGTCTCCTTATCTGGAAGTGCATCAGCAGAAACCGGATGGCCATCTGTCAGAAGCGATCGGATTGTGTCTTCATCCTCAGTCGAAGGGGCTTGGATGAATTTTGGGGGTCTCTTCAAACTCTAAGATTCTCTGCTTCTATAGTCCTATTACTCCATGAACCTGCTAATGTCTAAGACGCAGGATGGCCATCTGTTGGGAGGGATCAAATTGCATCTTCAATTGAAGGTGGTTGGAATGGATGGTCTTTGGAGGTCCCTTCCATCTCCAGGATTCCATTTTTCTATAACCCTATTTCTCCATGAATCTGCCAATGTCTATGAGTCAGGACGGCTATCTGTCAGGAGGGATCGAATTGTGTTCATCCACAGTAGAATGGGGTTGGACTATATTCCCTTTGGGGTTCCCCCAACCTCTAGAAGAATATGTTTCCTATTATAATGCATGTTGTTTTTACAAAGGTTGGGCTAGATGGCCCTTGGGGTTCCCCCCAAACTGTAGGATAATATGTTTTCCATTGTAATGCATGCTGTTTTTCCAAAGGGGGGGGGGGAATAGAGGAGAAGAAAGCGCATGCGCCACTTAGCTCTCTTTTGCCTTCCTCCTCCTCGTCTTCCTCCTCTTCATTCCCTGCCAGCCTTCTTTGCAATGCCATTCAGTCGCAGCTTTGCGCTTTGGGGCTTTGCTCTTGGAGAGGCAGCTTAGGAGCAGAAGACAATCAAAAGCCCTATAGAGGAGAAGGAAGGAAGGAAGGCTATTAAAAGAGGGGGGCTGCCTCCTTGGCATGTCCCCCATGGCAAAAGAGGGGTGCCAACGCCTCACCGCAGCCCCCAGGGCTGGGCGCCCCTTTGTCTCCCAAGCTGCTGCCTGGGATTGGCTGTGAGGCAGCCTCTCTCTCTCTCTCTTTCTGTCTCTCTCCCCCTCCTCCTCCTCTGCAGGCAAGGGTGCAAGAGAGAGACCCCCCTTTTGTTGCAGATCCCCCCCTTCGCTTTCCACAACAGAAAAGCAGCCTTCGCTCCAATTGCCGGCTTCAGTCTCCAGCCTCTGGCCAGAAGGAGAGGCGATGCATTCCAGCAGACTCTGAAACACCAGACAAGGTAAGGAAGGGGGTGTGTTGGTCTTCATCCATCTATCCATCCATCTATCCATCCATTCATCTATCCATCCATCTATCCATCCATCTATCCATATAACTGTCCAGCCATTCATCTCTTCCTCTATATATCTATTTATCCATCCATCTATCTGTCTATCCAACTACCCATTTATCTCCCTCAATCTATCCATCCATCCATCTATGCATTCATCTATCTATATAACTGTCCATCCATTCATCTATTTCTCTACCCATCCATCCATCCAACTATCTGTCTATCCATCCATCCATCTATCATTTATCCATATAGTTATCTATTCATTCCTCTCTTCCTCTATTCGTCCATCTATCTATCCATCCATCCATCTGTCTGTCTATCCAACTATCCATCGATCTATACATTCTCCATATCACTATTGGTCCATTCATCTTTTCCTTTACCCATTGATCCATCCAACTATCCAGCCATCTATGCATATAACTGCCCATCCATTCATCTCTTCCTCTACCATCCTTCCATCCATCTAGCTGTCTATCCAACAAGTTGGGTGAACTATCTATATAACTGCCCACCCATTCATCACTTCCTCTACCCATCTATTTATCCATCCATCCATCCATCTATCTATCTGTCAATCCAGCTACACATCTGTCTATCCAACTATCCATATAACTGTCCATCCATTCATCTCTTCCTCTACTCATCCATCCATACATCTGCCTATCCATCCATTTATCCATCTATCCATCTATCCATCTATCCATCTATCCATCTATCCATCTATCTATCTATCTATCTATCTATCTATCTATCTATCTATCTATCTATCTATCTATCCAGTTATCCATCCATTCATCCATTTATTTATTTATTTATTTCAAACTTTTATACCCTGTCCTTCTCACCCCCGGAGGGAGACTCAGGGCGGCTTACAACAGGCAACCTTTTGATGTCGAACAATACATTAAAATACACAGTTACGATTAAAACAGCGTTTAAAACAATTATAAACATTTAATTTAAAAAATCTGCCAGTTCAGAATCATAGTTCAGGTCAGTCCATTGCTGGTCGCTTAAAACAATATCTTCCTAGTTGCTACATCTACTGCTCAAATGCTTGATTCCACAGCCAGGTTTTAAGTTTTTTAGGAAAGGCCAGGAGGGAGGGGGTAGACCTAATTTCATTGGGGAGGGAGTTCCACAACTAAGGAGCCACCATGGAGAAGGCACTGTTGTCTATTCATATAGCTATCTCTTCATTCACCCCTCTCTCCATCCATCTGTCTGTCTATCCAACTACTCATTCATCTATTCATCTATCCATATAATTGTCCATCCATTCATCTCTTCCTCTACCCATCTATCCATCCATCCATCTATCTGTCTACCCTTCCATTTATCCATCCATCCATCCATCCATCCATCCATCTATCCATCTATCTATCCAGCTATCCATCCATCTATTTATATAACTGCCTATCCATTCATCTTTTACTCTACCCATCTATCTGTCTGTCTGTCTGTCTGTCTGTCTGTCTATCCAACAATCCATTCATCTATTCATCTATCCATTTAACTGTGCATCCATTCATCTCTTCCTCTATCCATCCATCTGTCTATCCAACTATCATATAACTATCTATCCATTCATCTCCTTCTCTACCCATCTATTTATCCATGCATCTATCCATCTGTCTATCCATCTATCTATTCATCTATCCATATAACTGTCCATCCATTCATCTCTATCCATCTCTTCATCCATCCAGCCATCTATTCTATTCTATCTATCTATCCATCTAACAATCTATCCATTCATCTCTTCCTTTACCCCTCTATTTATCCAACTATCCATCCATCCATCTATCTGTTTATCCAACTATCCATCCATCTATTCATTCCTCTATCTATATAACTGTTTATCCATTCATGTCTTTCTGCCACATTACATAGTTGGTTCATGTTTAACTTGTTGTCCATGAGGACTCCAAGAAAAAGATCTTGGGGTCCTCATGAACAGGAAGTTAAACATGAGCCAACAATGTCATGCAGCAGCTCAAAACGCCAATGGGATTTTGGCCTGCAAAAATAGGAGTCTTGAGTATAGATCCAGGGAAGTCATGCTAGCCCTCTCTTCTGCTTTGGTCAGGCCACTTTACCTGGAATCACACTGTGTCCAATTCTGGGGACCACAATTGAAGGGAGATATTGACAAGCTGGAATATGCCCAGAGGAGGGTGACTCAAAGGATCAAGGGTCTGGAAAACAAGCCCTATGAGGAGTGGCTTCAAAGATCTGGGTATGTTTAGCCTGTAGAAGAGAAGGCTGAGAGTAGACATGATGAGGGCCATGTATCAAGAGGTGAGAGGAAGTCATAGGGAGGAGCAAGCGAGCTTGTTTTCTGCTGCCCTGGTGATTAGGACACGGAACAATGGCTTCAAACTACAGGAAAAGAGATTCCACCTGGACACTAGGAAGAACTTCCTGACTGTGAGAACTGTTCAGCAGTGGAACTCTCTCTCTGCCCCAGAGTGTGTTGGTGTCTCCTTCTTTTGAGGCTTTGAAACAAAGGCTGGATGGCCATCTGCCGGGGGTGATTTAAAGGCGATTTTCCTGCTTTTTGGCAGAATGGGGTTGGACTGGATGGATGGCCCACTAGGTCTCTTCCAACTCTAGGATTCTATGATTCTATTCCTCTATCCATCTATTTATCCATCCATCTAGTTATCTATTCATCTACCCATATAAGTATCTATCCATTCATCTCTTCCTCTACCCATCTATTTATCCATCCATCCATCCATCCATCCATCCATCCAACTATCCATTCATCTCTTCCTCTACCCATCTATTTATCCATCCATCTATCTACTCTTGTCTGTTTATCCAACTATCCATATATGTATCCCATCTCTTCCTCTATCAATCTATTTATCTATCTAGCTAGCTACCAATCTATTCTATCTATCCAACTGTACAATATTCTCTTCCTCTGTCTATTATCCATCTAATTACCTATGTATTCTATCCATCTATCCATATATGGATCCTTCCATCCATCCATTCTTCTACCCCTTTGCCCTTCTATTTGTCCACCTCTCAAGGGAGCTGCCCATCTATTCTATTCTATTCTATTCTATCTATCTATCTATCTATCTATCTATCTATCTATCTATCTATCTATCTATCTATCCTTCCCTCTATCCACCCATCTATCCATCCCTCTACTTATCTATCCTATCCTCTATCTATCTATCTATCTATCTATCTATCTATCTATCTATCTATCTATCTATCTATCTATCCTATCCATCCATCCTATCTATCTATCCATGCTATCCACTCTATCTTATCTATCTATCTATCTATCTATCTATCTATCTATCTATCTATCTGGGTATGCTCTGAGTTTTCAGGCTGTATGGCCATGTTCCAGAAGCATTCTCTCCTGATGTTTCACCCATATCTGTGGCAGGCATCCTCAGAGGTTGTGAGGTCTGTTGGAAACTAGACAAGTGAGGTTTATATATCTGTGGAATGATGTCCAGGGGAGAGAAAGAACTCTTGTCTGCGTGAGGCAGGTGTGAATGTTGCAATTGGCCACCTTGATAGATCTATTTATCTATTCCTCCGTTCACCCATCTATCCATCCCTCATCTGCCCTGTCCTGTCTCTCTCTATCTATCTATCTATCTATCTATCTATCTATCTATCTATCTATCTATCCCTCTATCCACCCATCTGTCTCTCTACCATCTATCCTATCCTATTGTATTCTTATCTGTCTATCTATCCCTCTATTCACTCATATATTCTATCGTATCCTTATCTATCTATCTATCTATCTATCTATCTATCTATCTATCTATCTATCTATCTATCTATCTATCTATCTATCTATCTATCTATCTATCTATCTTTCTATCCATATCTGTCTATCTATCCATCCATCCATCCATCCATCCATCCATCCATCCATCCATCCATCCATCCATCCATTGATCATCTCTATGTATTCAGCTATCTATCTATCTATCTATCTATCTATCTATCTATCTATCTATCTATCTATTCATCTACCTATCTATCTATTCATCCATCCATCTATTGATCATCTATCTGTCTGTCTGTCTGTCTATCTATCTATCTATCTATCTATCTATCTATCTATCTATCTATCTATCTATCTTATCTATCTCTCCATACTTCCACCTGTCCATCCCTCTGCCATCTATCCTATCATATATTCTACCTACCTACCTACCTACCTACCTTTCCCTTTATCCACCCATCTACCCACCTAGCCATCCCTCTACCATCTATCCTCTCTCTCTTTTTATCTCTCTCTCTCTCACTCACTTTATCCACCCATCTACCCATTGCTCTACCCATTTGTCCTATCCTATATATGTGTCTATCCTCTTCCCCCAAGAATATAATTCCCTTTCCCAACTTCTCACCCAATGCCTCTCTGCTTTCCCCCTTCTTAATGCAACCACCCTCCAAATTCTCCTCCTTTTCACCTTCTGGAGTAAAACCCAAATAAATGTGTATATATGTATATAACTGGAGGGTTTATTACAGAAACCCCTTTCCTTTTTTTCTTCATTCCCCATTGCTTGGGGAAGAAGGAAGGGGAATCAATGGCAGAAAGGGGGGAAAGAAAGAAAGAAAGGAACCTGACTTCTTTACAAATGGGGAAAATTTGGCCTTTTCCCTCCTTCGGTGCGTTTTCTTGGCTGTTGGGGTTTTACTTCTTGGAATGGGACCAAGCATCCCATTTATTTGTTTGGGCGAATTAAAAACGAAGGGCTTTGGAGATGGGTTTCTGTCCATTCAAGGCGGCTTTGGGTGAAGAAAAAGGAGGGTCTTTCTTTTCTTTTCTTTTCTTTCTTTTCTTTCTTTCTTTCTTTCTTTCTCTTGAGGCTGGAGAGGAAAGTAATAAGGGGTGAGGGGATAAAGGAGAAGGGGATTCAAATATGCCAGCCAAAGAAAGAATG